TTCCTTCCTTCCTTCCTTCCTTCCTTCCTTCCTTCCTTCCTTCCTTCTTTCCTTCCTTCCTTCCCAAGCAATAACACTTATATACCTCTTCACAGCCTTCTCTAAGCTGTTTACAGAGTCAGCCTCTTGCCCCCAACAATCTGGGTCCTCCTTTGACCCACCTCGGAAGGACGGAAGGCTGAGTCAACCTTGAGCGTGGTGGGATTTGAACAGCCGATAGTCAGCAGAAGTGACCTGCAGTGCAGCTCTCTAACCACAGAGGCTCTACGCAATGCAGCCCCATTAAAAAATCACCACCACTATGATGGTTTAAGCATCATTAAATGTGATTAATTTAAAAAATCATACCTAACATTGTTATATAATATCTAACATCTAACCATGGAGGAATTCAAAGTGTGACAACATTATATCACATATTTAAAACAAAAACAAAAAATAGTTTCCTAAATATCACAGCCCAAATTTAACTCTCAGATAGTGAATCCATTTCCTTTCCCAGGGAGTCTTCATTTATCTTGCATGTATCTTGGTTTACTTTGAATGTTGATTTCCAACGAGATGGGGATCAGAGGTTATTGCAAACAATGAAATGAAACACGGCTCCCTCCTTCTTTTAGCTCCAAAAATATCAGCCATGTTTAATTAATATTAAGCATGTACTCGGAAGTGTCTCTCAGAGCCGGCTAGCTGTCAGGATTCTAGAACTTAACCCCATTTAAATCCTGAGTCTCGAGCCAAACTTCCAAAACTTCAAAAGGATTTATTGGGAGTTAAAAGGTCCAGCACTGCCTGGCTGTATCGTCATTCATATTCTCCAATGGGACACATCCATAGCCCAGAGTCATCCCTCATGCTCTCCAGTTAGAATTTTGCACAGCAGAAACTTCGGTCACCTAGTTACTATCTTTGAAAACATTGATGGAATGCACTTTCAGTTTGCAAGCTGACGCATTGCTTCCCCCTCCCTTTCTGTTGGCAACTCTGCAAGACCATAAAAATATTGTATGAGTTGACACCACCCATCTCAGTAGTATCTGTGAGGAAGAGTGGAAACGCACACACAAACATACACACTCCTTTTGCACCATTGTCCACGCACTTCACTTTTGGCTCTTCTGAAAAATATTTAGACGTTGCCCCAAAGGCTGAAGGGGGTTATTTGGTATCTCCTTTTCTCCTCCATCTCGGTCACTCTGGAAGGTGCTTCTTTCCATCCGAGGCCGTTCACACAACCAACTCTCTTTCCCTTTCAGGATCTGTTGGAACAGAAATTGGATACTCCTGTTCGTGGTGGTTATGTTGGTTGCTTTATTTAGTCCAGGCATTCAGACGAAACTGTGACGCGGGCGCCCAGACCTCCATCTACTGCGCCACCGAGGAGGGCATCGAGAGCCTGAGCGGGGGGTATTTCGTGGACTGCCACCTCTTGGAGCCTTGGTCAAAGGCCCGGGATGACCAGCTGGCCAAGAAGCTCTGGGAATTCAGTGAGAGGCTGCTGGGGCTGACCACTTAAGGCGGGAAGGGTCAGAGGTGGAGCTTGGGGTAACAGAAAGCCTGCCTCCGATTAACCTGGGAGATCAAATGTCAGGGAATCTAGAAACTACTCAGGGGTTGCGGTGTGACCGTGACGAGCGTTGAATTTCCAAGAAGTTTAAAAACTGGGAAGCATTGTGGGGTTTGTGGTGCTGAGTTGCCCAGCGTTGGGCCTAAGAATCTTTTAAATAAAGAAACAAACTCCATCCGGTTGTCGGTCTCTCTTTTCTCCATCCTGGTCTTCCTTTCTGGTCTTGAAAAGGGCTTCTCCTTCCCATCCCTTGAGACGTTTCATTACCTTACTAGGTAATGTCATCAGTGCGACAAGGGAGTGAGGTTGGCAGGGTCGGATAGGTGACCTTTGAGGTCCCTTCCAGAGTTGGGAATTAAACCATTGGTCCATGTAGCCTGAAATGAGGCAGCAGGTCTTTGGCAGTTCTCCAAAGCAGTGGTCCTCAACCCTTTTCTGTACCAGGGTCCAGTTTCACGCAGGAACACTTTTTCAAGGACCGGTTAGGGTTATTTATTTATTTATTTATTCATTCATTCATTTATTTATTTATTTTTATTTTTTATTTTATTTACTATTACACTATCAACTCACCAAAATTAACCAATGTTGGAGGATTACTAAAAATGTGTATAAATGCGAGACTAGGCTCCAATCAAGTCATCGTGATTCAGTTGATCAAGATCAAACAAAAATATATGTTTGGCAAAAATATATGTTTTTCGTAAGGTAATAATCCGCAATTCAGATTTGACATTCAGGATGCGTTTGGTCTCCCATATGGTCTTCAGCTTTCCACAGTCCCAACGATTGTAAGGTGTGTGGGGAATTCAGAGAGTCCAAGTCCACACATTTTAAAGTTGTCGAGGTTCAGAAATCCAGGCCTATAAGGAATTCCGGGGATTCGTTCCAAATACCTGGAGAGCCCACTTCTTTCCGGATCTCTCCTGCCCCATTTCGCTGCAACCCCTTGGCAAGCAGAGCATCGTCTAGAATTCTTCCAGGTGAAATAAGACTTTCAATTACCTGGGAATAAATCCATATAAAACCGGTCAAACTTTTAGTAGATATTCACTGTGTAGCTTGGCTAAAGCAACATTCTGCCCTGTATGTTTTAGGATTCTCGTCTCTTTCGCTTACTTCTCTTGTTCTCTCCCGGTTGTTTCGGGCGGCGACTGCCTTCGCCTCCACCTGGCGCCTTTCGTCGCGCACCCTCGTCCTCCCCCGCCTGACAGCTCCGCCGCTGAGCCAGGCCCTGACGCACCTCTGGCACCCCGGACAAGCGCAGGGCTGCTTTCGGGGGTTCCCGCGAGGGGTCTGGATCAGGATCTGAGCCCCTTCATTCCACCCACCTCCAGTTTTCGGCTCACTCACACGCCTCTCTCTCGCTCTCGCTCTTGCTCCCTTTCCCCAGGCGGAAAGAGGCGCTTCGTGGTGGAGCCTCTGAGGCGAGCTTTCTCCCCAACCCGCGTTCCTTTCTCCCTCAGGCCGCCGACTGGCGCTGCTGAAGGCAGACTTCCCTCACCCATTTTTTTCCACAGCCAAACAGATAGAAATATGGCCAGATTTCTCGTATTTGGCCGGAAAAACGGCCAGATGGCAACCCTGTTCAATGTCCCCTTTTTCTCCAGCCACGCACGGCGTGGAGCTAATGTTTTTGGTTGAGGCTGAGGGACGGCGTCAAAACCAGCACTTGATCCTGTTATGTCCTTGGAACTGGTTGGAGTTCCCAACCAGGTCCGACGTTTAAGCGGGAGCTACAGCAGCTCCCATTGGTTGGCCCCGTTTGGCAGTCGGCTATAAAAGCCGGCTGCTGGACGGGGTCAGCCGTTGTTGTGCTCTAGCAGTCTGCCTGTTAGCTGGGCAGTTACAACAACCCTTTATTCCCCCGAATAAAGCCTTCACTTGTATGCTCTGGTCTTCTGCCTCGTTTGTCCCTTTGCTCCACAACACTGGCGACGAAGGTGGGATCCTACGGGCTGACCAGAAGCACCAAGAACAAAAGAGCTGAAGCCATGACATCCAGAGCATAGCCACCTCGCTCACAGAGAGCTCAAGCTCAAACCACTGCGTTTAGAGCCGAAGTCACAGCGCTGATAGCATCAGTCGCCCGCTCGCAAAGGAGCGCGTAATTCAAAACTGCTGCGTTTTGGAACTGAAGTCACGGCGCTGATGGCCTCAGCCGCCCGCTCGCAAAGGAGCGCGTAATTCAAAACCGCTGCGTTTTGGAACTGAAGTCACGGCGCTGACAGCCATCAGCCGCCCACTCGCGAAAGAGCGCCTAATTCAAACCGCTGCAGTTTGAATTCGAGCTACGCTAGCTTAACACTGAGCTGAATTCACTGAAGTTATCTTCGGCGCTGTTAGCCACCGCCGCCATTACACTTGAAAGGCGCGAAATTTAAACCGCCTTCACGAGTTTTGAAACCCGCAAGTGAGTCTCAGTGCTGCCGCCGCAGCCGCCAGCGCTCGAATCAGCGCGAGCCCAAGGGGCCACGACTACCCAGAGAGACAACCCACTCCGCTAAGTGGTTAAAGATTCCATGAAGAATGCCAATCAGGTATTCCCTCCATTCAAACCCAATGAAGAGAAATGGGACTCCTACAAGAACCGTTTCAACCATTTCCTGGACGCCATTGGCCTGGCCGATGCTGCCGAACACAGAAAGAAGTCGTACTTTCTGAGCTACTGTGGGGCCGAGGTCTTCGACACCCCCACAGCACTCTTCGCACCACGTGAGATAAAAAACGTGCCGTGGACTGAAATACAGGAAACACTCTCTAACCATTATTCTCCTAAACCTTCCCAGATCGCAAGGCTTTCTCATTCCGGATGAGAAAGCAAGCCGAAAGTGAATCCATCAACCAGTATATGGCAGCCCTGAGGACAGCCGCACTTCAATGCGAGTTCAAGAACTACTTAGACAACATGCTTCTTGACCAACTCGTTTGCGGGGTAAGAGATCAGACACTCCAACGACACCTGCTAGCCAGGAAAGATCTAAATCTTTCCCAAGCAGTGGAAGAAGCCCTAGCCGCTGAACTATCCATCCAGTCAGCGGCCGAGATTCAAGGCACCGCACCGAAGCCAGGTATTTCCACCGTACACTCCGAAGAAGTGACGAGCGAAGCTGACCCCTCTGAAACTACCGATGTCCATCGCCTTAAACAACTGAAACAGCCGCAGGTAGGAGGAAGGCAGAGAAACAGCAGTGGCCCGCAACAGATCCTGTTGTGCCTAACATGTGGGGGTTCCCATTCCCGGGCGTCATGCAGGTTTACGAACGCGAACTGCCTAAATTGCCACAAGAGAGGCCATCTTGCAAGGGTCTGCCAGGCAGCACGCGCTCCACCCCAGAAGTTTCCCTCATCTCCTAGCCTCCAAAGGCAAGTAGAAAACTGTTACACGTGTTACCATGCCAACCACACGTCTCAAACTCCTAATAAGATTAAACTCTCTCTTTAGAAGGTAAACCTTGCACCATGGAGGTGGATACCGGCTCAGCGCTCTCAATCATCTCCTGGGACCCGCTGAAAAAGATTCAACCCAGGCTAACCAGGAAACAGCTACAGAAGTGCCACCTCACCCTGAGAGACTATCAAGGCAAGAACATCCCTGTCCTTGGGAAAGGCAAGTTTCTCGTTAAATTTCAAACCTTCAAAGGCCATCTGCCATTAGTGGTGGTTAATGGTACCCTCCCTAGTCTTTTGGGGTTAGATTGGTTCCCCTCTCTTGGCCTTAGTGTAACAGGGATTCATGCTGTCTCAACTTCTGACGTTGACACATTATTCTCTGATTAGTCCGATGTTTTCAGTAGCGAGCTGGGTTGCTACAACGGCACACCCATTTCCTTCTCCGTAGATCCCCAGGAGGTTCCTGTCCGTCTAAAATTCCGCAGAGTACCTTTTGCCATCCGCCCCAAATTAGACGCGGAACTAGACAAACTCCTCAAGCAAGGGGTGATTGAACCCACAGATTTTGCCAGGTGGGAGACCCCCATAGTCACCCCACTCAAAAAAGACGGCAGTTTGAGAATTTGTGCGGATTACAAGACCACCCTGAACCGCTATCTCCAGGTTAGCGCATACCCCGTTCCCGTCATCCAACACTTATTGCACACTTTAGAGCCTGGCACCATTTTTGCCAAGCTAGACATGACGCAGGCCTATCAAGTTTCCCCGGCTGAACTGTTAATGGGGAGACGTTTAAGAACCACTCTTGATAGACTGCATCCGCATTACTGCCCTGCTGCCCCTTTGGGTTCTGACAGCCAGGTACGAGACTTTGCCTTACAGGACTCTGTGTTCACAAGAAACTATGCGGGGGACCCTTTGTGGGTACCAGGGCAGATCGTGGCTATTACCGGTCCGAGATCCTATCGGGTCCAGCTTGAAGACGGTCGAGTTTGGCGGAGACACCTGGACCAACTACACAGGCGGCGGAGTGACCGGGCCAGCAGAGAGCCGGAGCCGGCGTCCTACCCTCGTGCTCTCACCCAGTTCTCGGCAGGGAATTTCCCGAGGGATCCATCGTGCCCCACCGAACAAGCTGAGCCGAGGCGAGACCTGGAAAACCGACCCGAGCCGCCAACACACCCAGCCAGCGGGAACACCATCCACCCGGGCCGTGACATTCCACTAACCCAATCCGAACGAGGAGAGGTCGCTCGTTCTCCTGATCCAGTGTCCAGTTCAGAGGACTCCACGGCAGCCCCAGAGCCACATTCCTTGGACTCAACACCAACTGACAATGCCCCTGAGATACGACATTCGGGTCGCCAGTGTAGCCCCCCATCGTATCTCAAAGACTACGCATGCGCCCAGCTGGGAGGGAGGGGTGTTATGTCCTTGGAACTGGTTGGAGTTCCCAACCAGGTCCGACGTTTAAGCGGGAGCTACAGCAGCTCCCATTGGTTGGCCCCGTTTGGCAGTCGGCTATAAAAGCCGGCTGCCGGACGGGGTCAGCCGTTGTTGTGCTCTAGCAGTCTGCCTGTTAGCTGGGCAGTTACAACAACCCTTTATTCCCCCGAATAAAGCCTTCACTTGTATGCTCTGGTCTTCTGCCTCGTTTGTCCCTTCGCTCCACAACAGATCCAGCACGTGAAAACAAGATGGCGTCCAAGCAAAGTAGGCGGCCCGGTTCCAAAATGATCCACGGACCGGTACCGGTCCAGGGACCGGCGGTTGGGGACCCCT